CGAATCCATTTGAAGTGCTTTCAAATATAAACAACGAACAAATGGAAGCAGCATCCATCCCCAGAGAACCCAAACCCCCACCAATATTTGTTAGAAATATTAAAAATTTTCAATTGATGTGTAATCAATTGAATAATCTGGTAGGTTCAGGAAAATTTTTATGCCAAAGCCGCACCAATGACACTAAGTTAATGCCCGACACTCCAGAAACCTATAGAAAAATCATAAAATATTTATCTGAAACCAAGGCTGATTACCACACTTATCAACTGCGTCAAGAGAGGGCGCTCAGGGTCGTTATCAGAAGACTGCACCCATCTACGCCAACAGATGCTATAAAAGAAGAGCTCACGGGTATGGGATTCCATGTTCGCCAGATAGTGAACATATTTAAGGAGGATAGAGAACAGCCTGGAATAAAAAATAAAATACCTCTTCCACTATTCTTCGTTGACCTTGACCGAACACCTGATGTCGAAAACATCTACAAGGTCACACGCCTTTATTATACAAGCGTTGTTGTAGAAAAGCCCTACAGCAAGCGCGACATCGTTCAATGCCATAACTGCCAGGCTTATGGCCATACGAAACGGTATTGTCATCACATTCCTAGATGTGTGAGGTGTGGTGAGCAACACAAAACAGAGGACTGTAGGAAGTCTAGAACTTCACCTGCAGTATGCGCTTTATGCCACCAAGGACACCCAGCCAACTACAAGGGTTGTCAAACTTACAAAGATTTGAAAACACGAATGTACGCAACGCCTAGAGAAGAAGGGACATCCAGGCCACCAAGACAACCCTATAGAACAGTGAACGGAAGAGTGTCCTATGCTCAGATGTTCAAAGGAGACACTGTAAACACTCAATCTCAGGCCCTGCCACAAGAATCTAAACCTCAAGAATTCACACATCAACCTCAAGACCCATATCCCTCCATCCCTGAACGTAGGTTAAATACTCACACATTCATTCCTCCTCCTTCCAATTCCACTGACCTCACAAGCCTATTGACATCTTTCCTTTCCGAATTTAGATCTCTCATTACCCCCCTTATTTCGCTACTTACCAATGTTATATCCAACCTCATTCCACTGCCAAGAAATCCATAAATGTCCTCAACCAAATTCCTCTCCATTCTCCTCTGGAATGCGAATGGTATTCGGAACCACATCAACGAACTGACAATCTTATTACATGACAAAAACATCGACATAGCACTAATAACTGAAACTCGACTAACCAACAAACGACAAATCAACGTGCCCGGCTACAATATTTATCGAACCGACCATCCTGATGGAACAGCACATGGTGGCACTGCCATAATTATCCATCGATCCGTTTCCCATCATTTGTTTCCCTTACCAATCCATAATTTCATACAATCCACAGCCGTAATAATCCAAACACCCCTTTACCCAATAACACTAGTTGCGGCATATTCCCCACCTAAAACACCCATTTCCGAATCCCAAATAATTTCCTTCCTGAATTCCTTAGGACACCACTTCCTCCTAGGTGCAGATCTAAATGCAAAACACCAGCAATGGGGAGCCAGATCCACAAATTCCCGAGGCCGAACATTGCTATCTGCACTTAATTCCCATCGCAGCAACATCCTTTCACCTAATACACCCACATACTGGCCAACAGATCCCAACCGCAATCCCGACCTTCTAGACTTTTTCCTCCACAAAGGTCTAGGATCACTACACTGTTCTATTTCAAGGTTTGATGATCTTTCCTCAGACCATAGTCCTCTAGTCCTAACCGTTTCCACATCTCCCATTCCCAAATCATCCCCACCTTCATTTATCAGGGGGCCAGTTAACTGGAACCTTTTCCGTCAAATACTGGAAGATAATATTGACCTCAGAGTTTCCTTAAAAACACCTGAAGACCTCGACGATGCAGTGCATTCCTTCACTACCCTGATCCAGCAAGCAGCTTGGACTGCATCCTCACCTGATCGTCCCAAAAAATACCATAACATAAATCCTTTACCTCAAGATCTATTGGACCTAATCCATAGCAAACGTTGCTCTAGGACCCTTTGGCAAAGAACTAGGCATCCTGATGACCGGAAATCGTATAATTATTATTCCAAACAGGTAAAAAAGAAACTGGAAACTTTTAAAACCCAATCCTACAATTCCTACCTCTCCTCATTATCCGCTAGTGATAAATCCCTCTGGAACGTAACCAAAAAAATCCTTAAATTCCAGTCCATTTCCCATCCACTTCGCCGTGATGATGGTTCCTGGGCTTCGTCAGATGCGAATAGAGCAGAGGAGTTTGCTAAACATTTATCCTACACATTCACCCCTCACCCCGAACTCCATCCCAGCCACACTGCTGAAGTTGAAGAATTCCTCTCTTCACCAATTCCTCTCTCTCTACCTCCAAAACCTGTTAACCCCTCTGAGGTCAAATTCCTTATAAACAAATTAAAACCCCGAAAATCCCCTGGATATGATCTCCTCACTTCACAAATCCTCAGACAACTTCCCAAAAAAGCAATCATATTCCTTACCTATCTATACAACTGCATCCTTCGCACAACCAACTTTCCTTTGGTGTGGAAACATTCCATAATCATCCTGTTTCCAAAACCAGGTAAACCTGTTAATAACACATCATCCTATAGACCGATAAGCTTACTCCCGATCCTCTCAAAAATCTTTGAGAAAATCCTTCTCAAACGCATCCTACCCATAATCGAATCCCACAACATCCCTTCTCATCAGTTTGGATTCCGCTCAAGACATTCCACTGTCCAACAAGGCCTTCGTGTTGTGGACCATATATCCTCTGCACTTGAAAACAAGCACTATTGCACTGGTGCCTTTCTGGACGTAGCACAAGCTTTCGACCGGGTGTGGCACGATGGCTTGCTTTTCAAGCTCAAAACCCATTTACCCCAATCCTTATACCTAGTCCTCAAATCCTACCTCTCAAATCGTTCCTTTCAAGTCCGTTGTGACACCGCATTCTCCACTTACTATCCAGTTGAGGCTGGTGTTCCACAAGGCAGTGTCTTGGGCCCAGTTCTCTATATCCTCTTCACTTCCGATATCCCTTCCAATCCCGATACATTTCTAGCTACATTTGCTGATGATACTGCCATTCTATCTTCCCACTCAGATCCTCAAATAGCATCTCTAAACCTACAATCTCACCTCTCTTTGATTGAGCAGTGGTGCAACAACTGGCGCATCAAAATCAACGAATCAAAATGCAAACATATCACTTTTACCCTGCGACGCAGATCCTGTCCGTCAATCCTTTTTAATTCAATTCCACTTCCCTACTCAGACACAGTCCGTTACCTTGGCTTCCTTCTTGACAAAAGACTAACTTGGAACCCACATACCAGACTTAAAAGACAAGAACTTAACCGACGATATGGCCAGCTGTATAGATTACTAAATAGGACATCCCATCTTTCGATTGAAAATAAACTTTTAATCTACAAGACCATACTGAAACCTATATGGACCTACGGACTTGAACTGTGGGGAACTGCTAAACATTCGAATATCAAACGCATCCAATCCTTCCAGTCCAAAGTACTTAGAACAATAGTCAATGCCCCATATTATGTCACAAACAAGACCCTACACCATGACCTTAACATCCCATTTGTCCTCGACATCATCCCAACCAGATTCTCAAACTTTCACCAAAACCTTATCCATCATCCAAATCCTCTAGCTCAATCCCTATCCAGCTCCCTTCATCCCTACAATCCTCCACGAAGGTTAAAACGGCAGTGGCCCAGAGATCTCTTGTAAATATGCTTCTGGAGTCCTGGCAATGGCCAGCTTCTCCACTCATGTCCCGAGCGTCTGTGGCTCTAGTGCCCTCTTTCAGTCTCCATTGGCTTCTAATACCAGTGATGCGGCTGGAAAAGTGGCACTGGAATCTCCTGGAGTCTTGCTTTGCCTTCCACATGTGGGGGAAAAAGCCTGGCTCGGAGATTCTTGGGCGAATGTATATATTGTATATAGGTATGATTGTGTTTATAAGTTTCTTTTTATGTTATTGTTTATTTTTTTTTTCTTTTATTTTCTTTCTTCATCAGTATTATTCATTTACTTTTTATATTTATATTTATTTCTCTATTATTTGTATATATTGTTTGAATGAGAACTCTTAGCCCTAATACTTATAGCCCTCCAGTGGCTGATTGTATTATTATTCAATAAATAAAAAAAAAAAAAAAAAAAAAAAAAAAAAAAAAAAAAAAAAATTTCATTCGGGCTTAGTTGGGTTTCTTCTATCGAAACAATTACAGTAATATCTCTATAGAAACAAGGTGATAAGTAACTGCAAGACTGTTGCACGACTCTAGCGCAATAGCAAGACCATGACGAAGACTGAGTTGGCACGACCAAGACTCGTCTCGGTCTCGCATTTGGGCAACACTAGATTTGTCGCATGTGACTGCTATGACATGTGCAGCCATTACCTAGATTTTATATAATTTTAACTGATTGGGAAGACTGAAATATACATACGCATGGAGAAACATTTTTCCTAGTCTGTACTATATTGTCAGTTTTTATGAAAAAAAATTCACTAATTTAATTTTTGATGGAACAGTGGTTCTAATTATTTTTTTATTTTGATCTTATTAGTTGATAAAACAAATACTAAGTGCAATAAAGTGACACAAATCCTTTTATATGACAAAAACAATTATTTGCAAGTCCAAAATTTTCTGATTTTATAAAGAGAAACTTCAAAATCTTTAGTGATGTAAGATTGTGAAATATTACTTAATGAGTTTTTGCAATAAACTGATGATGTTTACCGAATTCCCGACAATAGCTGGAAGTGCATTTCTCGGTTACAGAACGATCCCTGACCCGCTAGTTGAAAATTTGACCCTTTTGCAATACTTTTTTAACTAGCATGAAGAAAGTAAATATTCCGCTTATGGTATAACATATTTATCAATTTTCAGCATTAAGTAATCAATTACTATACAAGCCTTAATTAATACAAGCCTTACCTTGTGCTGGAGCGTATATATTCAAGTAGAGGCAGTCTTCGTTCTGGTTCTCCAGGTAGGGCAGCAACCTCCGAAGATACTCCAGCCGCCCCCTCGGCATTCTCCTCAGCGCCGCCGTCTCATTGGATATGTCCGGGAGCATCTGGGGGCATGCGGGGCCGAACTTATCGGCGATCTTGACCCCGGACCAGATGGCGCCTGTGACCGGGGGCATGAACCGGAGGGAGCCGGTGGGCGGGGAGGCGTACGGCACCCCCTTGAACACCTCGACCGCCCCCAGGTGCCGCGAGTCCGGCGTCACCATCACCCCAGACAGTTCGCCGTACTTGGTCCGGATGGTCCTGGCGCAATCTCCCGGCAACACGCTCGTCAGGAGCAGCCACATCAACATTACAGCCCCCAGCCAGCACCTGCAAAAGTAAAAATTAATCTTATCAGTTGATAATATCCTGAAATAATGGAAACAAAAAACATACTAGATTATAATACGAGTATGAAAACAGCTCTTTTCCTGTATCTGTATGAATAAGCTCCACTTAACAGTTGTTAACTCAATAGATAATTAATGAATAATCTACAATATATATTTATCCTTCCTACCGTCGTAAGTATTTCCTGGCATCCTTCCTCTATTAAGTCATCCAATCCCACCGTTCCTCATATATCTACGAGCTCCTTTAATTCAAATCCTCTATTCGTTCCCGCAATACTCGTTTCGGGACTTTTTTTTTTTTCCTCCCCTTCCTCGCCTTTAAGGCTATACGGGGGTTTTACCGGGCGTGTGAGCGGAGATTCAAAAACACCTCCGGGAACCGGGACGCGAACACGTGACTATTTTTTTACCAGTCTTACGTATCAGGTTGCCGGGCAACGGCGGTGCAGTGCACATGATTAGCCCATTCGGACACCCCGCCCCCACTCTTTTCCGGTCTTCTGATCTATACATAAGCGTCCACCGAACCACTGCTTTCGATAAATCGTTCATTATCCGATCCTCATCCCTATGGAACTCCATCCCTCCCCACATCCGTCAATCCAATACCCTTCCTTCCTTTAAATGCCTGTTTGATCATTTCTTATCCATCCAGTTCCCATAAAATTGTAAATAGATACTAATGTAAATATTTCCAGAAATTATTAGTTCGTTCTTCATTGTTTTTACTCCAATTTTTATTTTTTTATTATTAACTGATCAAGATTAGAAAGTAACTTATATATATATATATATATATATATATATATATATATATATATATATATATATATATATGTATATATATTTTTTTTTCTGTCACTTAGACTATTCAATTACTCTTTACTTTTATTTAGGGATCTCTGAGGCTCCTTAGACCACATTTTTGTGTTATTCTAAAGAGACTCGTTCCAGAATAAATAAAGTATTATTATTACTATTATATATATATATATATATATATATATATATATATATATATATATATGTATGTATATATATATATATATATATATATATTTATTGTATTGTACTATTATATGTAGTAGTAAAGATCGCTTTTCCAACTCTCAGAAGTAATGTATTTTGACGAATGAGATATCAAATGAAGGTGAATTTTATAGTGAAGTGACGAATGCTAATCTCAACCATAAAATATTACTACAAGTATAGTAATCTAAAATTAAATAAAAAACAATATTTATACTTAGAAATTCATTAATAGATACTTAATTTTTTATGTATACATTTTTTGTTATAATTTATTATATTTACAACTGTATAAAAAAAAATACGTCCAGTTAATTTGTAAAAATGGATATAATGTCATGAAACACTTGTTGAGAAACTACCCACTGGTAGCAATCTAATAATATTTCTACATTAGGAGATCACGGGACTATCTTCTTTTCAGACGCCTCGGAAGGTTATCAGCATCGAGGATTTTACGAAGGATTTTTGATTGTAAGGATTGGATACGAGAGAAATTCGATGGTTTGATAGAGCCTCATAGCGCAACTTCGTAAGTCCAAATTGGCCTTATTATAGTCATGTTTATGAGTATTTTGTAATTAATTGGAAGGTTATAGCGTTTGTCTAGTAAGTATTTAAGTAATCTAAAACATCGAGCGGTTTCTTGTCTTTCCAGTCTGGTATAAGGATTCCAAGTTAGCCGTTTAGTCCTATATTAGTAGGTGTAGTCCTAGGTTACGGATTTGTTCAACAGGGATGAGTGAAGTAATCGATAAAGGATATTGTATTACAGGAAGTCGTCGGTTTACGACGGATGGTAAAGGTAATTTGATGGGATATATTAGAACTTTCTTTAATTCTGCAGTTTTTACACCATTTATTAAGTTTTGAGAAGTGCATGTATACACTTAAATCTCATTTAGTGGAAATTAGATAAATGTGAAATACAAGTAGAAAATAATAAATATCTGACAATAAGAAACTAGACCAACAGAGTCGAAGAGTTGGGAAAGGGAAATAGGCATCCATTATGAACCGTGCTTTTAAAGGAAAATCTGAGGGTGGGCGTTTTCTTTCTTATATCTCTTGCCCCTTAAAGTCAACAGTAGTTAAAAGGAAAATATGTCCGATGGCTTTTTCAAGAAAGATTTTAAGGTTTTTTACATTTTCAATAATTCTTTACTGCTAAAATATGCACGACTTGAGAGAAAGATAGACAAAATAATAATAATAAAATGCTTTGCGAATCCGAAGGTTCATTGCCGATACCACCAATCACTATCGACATGCAATATATCCATCCACCCACTGACCGCACTTAATTTATACTTGGATCGAAAACACCTCAAAAGTAAAATTTTGAATATCTCAAAAATGTCGACTATATATCTGTACCCCGGACGTAAATTAATCATAAATTAGTCATTTATCTATAACATTCAGCTATTAATTTTTTTTCTTAGTTACCAAATAACTTAGTAAGAAATGGACATGAAGTCCTTTATCACTTGCACAGATATTGTAGTTGATAGGATGAAGAGTGGAAAAACAAGTCATTCAGAAGGAAATTTTAATTGTTCAGATGTGTGGCAGTGGCCCCGTGACCTTTTATAACATGTATATATTGGGGTTCTGGCAATGGCTAGATTCTCCACTAAAGTCATGAATGTCTGTGGTCGTATCGCCCTTATTCAGCCTCTGTCTTTTAATACCAGTGAAGTGGTTGAGGGAGAAGCGCAGAGATCTCCTGAAGCCTCTCTTTTCCCTCCACAAATGGGGGGAGGGTGGACAAGTGTGGTTTGGAGTTCTCTCGGGCGATTGTATTTAGTGCATATGTAAGCGCCTAAGTTGTTTATTTTTTAAGAACAGTTTATTTTACTTCATTCAGTGATTTTAATTATATTATTATTGTTATTTTCTTCATTCATTATGATATTATATTTTTTTCTTATTTCGCTGTATATTTTTTTTATTACCTTATTTATTTCCGAATCTGTAAATATGGTGTGAATGGGCTCTCTGAATTGTAAGTGTCCTTAATTGAGACAGATTGTAATAGCAACTAGCAAGACAAAAAAAAAAAAAAAAATACTCTATTTTCATATGGTCTATAATAGTTATTTTCTGATAGAATTAGTACTCATGATGTTGACCAATTCTAACCACGCAAGATGAGGCTTAACACAATCCTCCCACCTTCGCTTTGGTCTACCTCGGACATTTACAGTGCTTATTGATTTTTAGGAATTCTATCACTACTATAATTTTACAAGCCCATTTTATTCGTTGTTAAGCTGTCATCTTAATTATATTTAGACCATCTAGTTCACGCAATTCGGCTTCATGTTAATAACAAAATTGGAAAGAAAAGATATTATAAATTTTCTGTTGGCACTGTTAACAATTACCAATTAATACAAATTTAATTTAACTTGAAAATATTTTTTTCCAGAAATTCTATCAATGAAATTACTAAAAACCAGAGATTGAAATTTATACGAATTACGATTTTTTCATTTATATTTGAAATAAATTATTTTTAATATTACTTTAAAGAATTTATGATTTCAAAAATTATTTTGCTATTAAAATAAATTACACCTCACCGATTTATTTATCACAAATATTAATTTTCTCATTATGATTGTTTGTTTTTATCTGACATTCCATCAATCTGACTATCTTAAGTCACTTGCATTGATAATTAATCTTCGATTTTCTTCTTGGGACTTGAGTCTATTTTTTTTTTTTTATTAATGAAGAGAAGAATAGTTGGGGTGCTCAGTCAAAAAAGGAAGGCAAAAAATAAATTATAATATTTATTTTTTACATAAATATTATAAAATAAATATTATAATTTATTTTTTTCCTTCCTTTTTTGACTGAGCACCTCAACTATTCTTCTCTTCATTATCCACGACAGTCAACCAATTACCAATTTTTTTTTTTATTATGTTTCTTAAACGTTGACATATAATTTCAATTAATCTGAATATTAATTCCTGGTACAAATACTGATGGATTGATCTTTATGCTACCGTTAGAGACGTTACTGCACTGAGCGGGTGGTGATAAATTCTTCAACAACGAAAAATTGCTCACTGTTTTAGATGATTGGATTAAATAAATCAATACTTACATCTCCCTTCTCCTTACTCCTTTTTTACTCAGCCGTTGGAAAAAAAACTTAATGAATTAATTATGGTTCGCTTACAATTTTATACAAAATGATTTATCTTTGAATCATAAAAAAGAAGGATCACTTAATTTGAAACAAGTAAAATTTAATTTATAAAATAAGCGATTTTTACTATATATCATTTAATTGTTTCTTACTAAATTACTCAACTCCAATACTTTAAATATTAAAGTTATTAAATCTGCTCATGTCATTCAGATTTATTGGTTTTGTGGAAAATAATTTCTTAGCACTAAAAAAAAAAGAAATTAAGTTATGTATTTGACTGTTGTGATTGTAACTATGAAAAATAGTAAGGATGAGTAGTAATAACTTATGTTGGCTAAATTAATTATTGTTATGATTAATAGATATATTTGTTTTGTTATTTTTTCTAATTTTTAATTAATTAAATTCGTTTTTTGATTGGAGATCTATTGAGTCAGAAATACTCTCTAATTACCAATACTGAGTTAGAACAGAAGATTTTCCCAGCGAAGTCTGCATTCTGAGAAAAGGTGGGTACACAGAACATTTCGAGATGAACTAAAAGTTTTAATGAACCGGCGCTTGGTTCTGATGATAGCTTAATACTAACGAGGCTGAAGTTCATTCCTCAAATAATCTATTTTTAAACAATAATTAATGTGTCATAACAATCTTTTTATGTACGTCAATCATATTTTAACTAAATAAAGAAATTGACTATAGAAATAAATATTTTATAAAAATTCATGCTGGAATTTTCAAAATTAAATCAATAATTAGAGATATAATTAATAAATAATAATTATACTTTATAGGTATAATAAGACATCTTCATAATAAAACAAAATAAAACTTGGATTTTTTCATAAATAATGAATAAATTTGGATTTTTTTTTTATCATCATACCACCTGCCATTTGTTTTAGTTCCATCCAAAATTAATAGTCCGTGGTACAGACCCTTTCTTATGAAATTATTAACATCCGGCGGAAACTTCGTAAATAGCTCCATCCCATCATAACCTACAGATATTTTATTTAAGAAAATTCTTGGAATTAGGGTGTTTTCAAATGCAGGGCGAAAACTTTGTGTATATTATTAGGTACTATAAACTTGTAAATACCCATTTGCTTTTTACTTGGATCGTAAGATAAATTGATAACAAAATCGATAAAAAAAGGTGCCCTACATAAATATTGGGCCGTTTGTCCTATATAACCTCGTTAATTTTGAAATTTTGGGAGTCTAGGTCACGACAAACGGCTCAATATTTTTGAAGGACAGATTTTTTTTCTATTTTTTGATCAAATTATCTTACGATCCAAGTGGAAAGTAAATGGGTATTCATGAGTTTTAGTGCCTAATTAAATAGACAAAGTTTGTCCTCCACCAGATTAAAAACGCCCCCATTCCGAAAATTTTGGCAAATAAAATATTTGTAGGTTACTATGAGATGAAGCTATTTACGAAGTTTTAGACTTATGTTAATAATTTCATAAGAAGGGGTCTGTACTACGGGCTATAGTAATAGCGTAGATAGTTATAACGACTATTCCTTAAAAGCATGATGACGAAAAATAGAAAAACAGGATAATTTTTTTGTTCTTTCCAAACAATTGCGACAAACAAACCACTAGAATCGACAAAAAAACAATCTTTTTCAGATTAGAATACAATCCTTTGAATATTGAAGGCGTTATTTGAGAACAAGTGATTTTTTGAAAGGTATATTTAATCGCTTGATTTTTCTATAAAAATATAAATGTACCGCAATCATAAATTAGATGGTTTGAAAAAAAAATGTGGCAATGGAGAGCTATTGTAAAAAGCACTAGAATCGAACACGGATTATTTTTTTCGAAATATTTCTCAATTTTTCCATTGTTGTGGAAGCAATGGCTTTCTGTTTATTAGCCGTATTTATTCCCAGGGGTAATGGATATAAAGGAGTGAGAACCCACGAACCACAATAGTTAAATTATGATACCATTATGGCGCAATCGTTTATAGCGACCGCAAGTGGGATGATGTATGTGTGCGCATTGTCCAGCAATGCTAACTTAATTATCTTCTGAATATTATATACTAAGTCGTTTCAAAGTTATATGAAAAAAATTATGATAATACATTTTTTTCAAATAAAATTTAATTGTTGATATCGTCGTCACTCATTAATCATTAGTTATTATAAGCATAGTAAGTTTCTTATGCAGTATCAAAAAATAGAAAAATTGCTGAAATTTAGTTGTTTTTTTAGATTCCTCCAGTAAATTTTGAATTCAAACTGTATTATATGACCCTAATCAAGAATTTTTGTTTAAGTTAGCCAAATATGTTTTATTCTACTATTAATAATTTTCAAAAAAGTTATTAATAGTAGAAAAATGAAAAATTGAGTTAGCGTTTATTTTTATATATCTTGAACATTAAACTAAAAAAGAAAAAGAAACATGAAGGAAATCACTGTGAAATTCGATAATAAATATCTGACTAAGTGATCGATTGATTTTTTAATTAAATATCTAGATTCTAACCACATAATCCCTGATTACCAATTTGGATTCCGCACATACCATTCCACTATCCAGCAATGTCATCGTGTGGTAGATGTTGTCTCCTCTGCATTGGAGCGCGGAATGTATTGCACTGGAGTTTTTCTCGACGTTGAACAGGCGTTTGATCGAGTCTGGCATCCGGGATTGCTTTACAAACTCCGTAAATTCCTTCCCCCTACATATTTTCTTATCATCAGTTCCTATCTTACTGATAGACACTTCAAAGTAAATCACAATTATACCTATTCATCTCTCTTTTCTCAATCTGTCGGAGTTCCTCAAGGTAGTATCCTTGGTCCTATCTCTTACACATTTTATGCAGCTGATATCCCTACCCATCCTAACACTGTCATCACTACGTATGCTGATGACACATGTATCCTGTCAGTTAATAATGATCCGACCATTGCATCCCAAACTTTGTAATCACAGATCACAAACCTTGAAGAATGGTGTCAAAACTGGATGATTAAAATAAATTCCAATAAACCTCATCAAATCACCTTTACCCTTCGTCGTAAACCAATGACTTGCTGTCCTATAGTATCCTTTAATAACAGTATCCCACTTATCCCTGTAGAACAAATCCGATACCTAGAACTCCAGCTGGACAAACGTCTCACTTGGAATCCTCATACAAGACTGAAACGACAAGAAACTGCTCGACGTTTCCGCTTACTCCAACACTTACTGGACAAACGCTCTAAACTTTCAATGGATTACAAACGACTCATATACATGACTATAATAAGACCTACTTGGACTTATGGAGTTGAGCTGTGGGGCTCCACTAAACCATTAAATTCCTCTCGTACCCAATCTTTACAATCCAAAATCCTTCGTAAAATCCTCAATGCTCCTTACTTTGTCACAAATAAAATAATCCATAAAGACCTCAATGATCCATATGTTTCCGATTTGGCCAAATCCAGATACCTATCCTTCCATAATAAACTTCATAACCATCCGAATCCTCTTGTTTCTAACCTTGCTTCCTATTCGATTCCTGATAACCCTCCGATATTTAAAAAATTAAATATCGTCGTTTTATTTAAAATGCCACCATGTAGATACACTTTTGACAAAACTAATCTTTTATGTGATGTTTTTATTAAATTTATTTCAACTTTATTGAAATTATATGTAATTATATGTAAAACATATAAACTGCGTCAGAATTACACAATACATTGTATATATCAATTAAAGTTTCACCCATTGCACAATGTGATGATTTCATAGAGAGAAAATTGACTAAAGGACTTCTTGGTTCAATTTAACGAGTTTTTGCAAGATCCGACGATTAACATCGTTAAGAAAATATAATGAAATCCGTTGAAGAATTGACGAAAACAAGGCTTAAAAAAAAAACATGAGAAATAATATAAATATATTGTCTGGACCTTTCCCGAATCTTGGAAAATATCGAAAGGTCACAAATTAAAATTGCGTTTTTTATGCCATTTGAATTAAAAAACTGTAATTCTTTAGGTATTTCACAATATCATTAGTAATGATAATTATGATAATGTAATGATATGTTACATGTAATGATTTAGTAATGTAATGATACATTACAGTACTATATAGGTGAGAAACGAAGGTCTAAAAGTAGTTCTGTTGGACCCTCAGGGCTGAAAATAGTATTCAAAATATTGTATATAACATATATTACTTATTCAAGTGCTACTTATAAATCTTTTCACCAAAGATAATGAACGCCATGTCCATTTTTGTATTTGTTCAGGTGAGCCAATGTTCCATTGAGCTATTTATTTATTTATTCATTTATTTTTTTTACTGGTTTCATTGAGTATTAATACAGTATTTCACTCTGAAGGGCCTTGATACTGGGACTGTAGTATTCATTCACACAATATGTACATAAGAAAGGAAAATAAATATAAATAACCAAAGTAAAAAAAAAATACATATATGTATATATAGACAAATTATAAGATAAATAAATATACAAGATAAATAAAATAATAGATTAAAGTTGAATGATAATAAAATGAATAAAACACATTGAGCTATTAAAACATATTTTTGAGTTACTAATTCTATAACCCAGAAGTAAAGGACACCATATCACGTTTTTGTTTGTGATCGGGGAACACATTTTCTATAACTTTGAGCGATTAAAATGTTTTTCTTAGTAACTTAATTCTACAATAAAAACTGACATGGTGTCCAGTCCCGGTGTGTTTATCACCGGGGCGCACATATTTTAGGGATATATACTATTTATATATAAATACATAAATATAAAAATTTGGCATGTATAAAAATTTGGAGCTGTTGAATAACCTAAAATACGAAATTTAACCATTTTTGGAAAATCTCGGAATTTACACAATAAATTATAATTCTTCTGACCTTATAGTGGATGAAGATAATACAGTAAAATAGTGTATAGTCTTGAAGAAAATTCATTACTGAAAAACTTTTTTTGTCGTGACATTTTCGTAGAACGAATAGGCAATGAGGTGGCTAGTAAGACGATGATAAAATCGCATGGCAAATATTTATATATTGTTTTTCAAAATTATGGATTCCTTCGGAAACTATGATTTATCGCTAGGATGCAGGCTTTCCTTGATAGAAGGAAAAACCGATAAAAGTGACCTGGGTGCTTTCCAAACGTGCCTCACCTGGTAGGGGCGGGGACTTTAAGGATGTTTACTTCCTAATTAGACCGAACAAAGTCACAAAGTCAAAAATTGTGTCCCTTACATTTTTCTCAATACCCCTTTATTGAGCAATTATTGACTGTACTACTTCGAGAGACTAAAAATGAAACAAATATTTGTTGTGTTGCGTTGGTCAAAATTATCTTTTCTCAGAACTATTTTCAAGTTGTAAAATATACAATTTTTAATTTATTTAATTATCTACCCTGCGTACTACTACTTCCTCTGTCATTTAGAAATGTTTTATTTATTGTTTATTTGTGACATTTAC